GTGAATCCCGAGGGGGTTGTCACAATTTATGAGCGATTGCAAGATGCAAGTACTTGACAATTTTCAAGAAGCAGGTAGCAAAGTCCATGCTATCAACAACATAAGTGAATGCCATCAACATTTATAGTAATTGAGTAGACAAAAGGAAAATAGTTGAGTAGACAAAAGGATTGTTACTTAAATTGATTTCACACGGGATCGATTACAAAACGATATATCAAAATCAGACAATTGACAAGTTTATTAATTGTTCAAAAATTATCAACTCAAGACACTTTCCTAAGATCACATTTAATTTTTGTCTAATAGATCATCAAAATCCTTCAGAAAAATACAACTACACCAAAAACTCATTTTTGAAAGCATTTTACCAACCAAGAACCCCAAAACAACATTATTCATCCTCAAGTCCAAAAGGGGTCATGGAATAACATAAGTATCCACATAAAAAAAGTTTCCAAAAACATCAGTAAAACAGAAGAACAAGTTAAAGTCTGAAGATAGAAACTTCATTTAAACATTAGTATAATCACATATGACATAACATAAAGTATAAAGAATAAATTTTAGTGAGGAAAAGAGTCAAATTTGTGAAGAACTTTATCAGATTAAGCCCAAAAAGTGTGAGAAGAGAAAGAATGAGGAGAAAATCAAACATAAGAAGTGGGTTCAAAAGGGGATATGTAATATTACTGGATAAAAATTGAAAGTTGTGTAGAGAGATTACTTTTTAGTCTTTCTTTGTCATGATTTTCTTCAATTTGCGTTTGCTGCTTTCTAGAGTAGTCGGTGCAGTAACTGGCAATGGAAGGTTGCTAGCAATATCCTTTTCGGTGATTGACATGATGAACGACTTTGCTAAAGATGCATCCTTGTTGATTTGCTTGCAGTCAGAGCATATTAAATGATCCACCATTTAGAAAGAATTGATCTTTCAGCAACTCTTCTGCAGACGGCTTAACAGACATAGGAAGCATACACTTCTCAATAATATCTCTGTAATATCTTTCACTCTGTAATCCTTCACCTTTTCGAGAGACAGGCTTTACACCAGTACACACTTTCTTAAATATATGCATTTGATTGCTGCATTCCATATATGGATATTTACCGGTAATCATCTCAAGAAGACACATTCCAAATAAATATACATCGATCAACTCATTGTATTCACCATTGTAGCACCCTAGAGCCATGAATTCATGGGTACCTTTAGGATCTTTTTCTTTCACAAAATCACCATTCATAATACAAACAGCCAACTCAAAATCTCCAAAGTGTAACTTGCTTCCCATCACTAGCAACAAACACATTGTCACACTTGATGTCTCGATGAATAATCTTAGGGCTCTGGCTATGAAGAAGCACATGGAATAAGATTTTAGGTAATTGTTCCTCATACTGTTCATAAGATCTTTCTTTCCCTTTCTTCCTTGTCCAATGATGGATTTTTTATGTCTTGTCGTCTCCTTTAATCAGAAGAGTACAACCTAAAGCAAAAATTTCACTTATATAAGTGAAATTGAAATAAACACAACATTACAGATTGTGTAAAAAAAGTTGAACCATGCTAAACCGTCTGAATATAATCGAAATGTCATATATTCAAATGAATGTTCCTAATGCACTTTTCTAACTTTGATTGGTCAGCATTGCAATGTGATGCTATCGCAATAAGGTTCAACAAAGGAAGCACAACATGGTAAAAGTAACGCTACAAGTCAAAAAAAAATAATCATACATAGTATATTTCTAAAAAAATAATAATCATGATCCCGTTTAAATATTTTTCTCGACTTTGGATGAGGAACAAAGTTCAAATTCGTGACGTGCACATTCCTCACTCTAATTTTTCTCTCAATATCTAAAAATCATTGCGAAGATCAACACATTGAATCCTTGCTCTTTGCATGAAAGCATAGAACTTTTTAAATTTATAGCCTCTACCACTTGTATGTTATTTATCAACAGCAAGTGTTCCTCATCAAAACTCAGAAACAACAATATTTCAACTAACACTACCAAATATAGCAAGAGGAAATGTCTAATTGAAAAGAACAAAACTCTAGTCTTTTACCTACTAGTTCTTTTATCCAAAACTTTAAATTAAGACTAAGGAAAGAATATAATAGTACCCTTAAAATTGGGAAAGACTTTTAGAAATTATAGACTCGTGTTAACTTACTTTTTCAAAAGAGATGTAAATACGAAATTTTTTCACCTTTTAGTTGTTAAATGATGAAAAATGAAGAAATATAATCTTTTATATTAAAGATGGAAATGGAAACTGGGTCACTGACCCAAAAAATATTGGTGGACATACCTTTAACTACTGCTCCAATTGCTTCACTATGGATATGAGAAGGCACAATGTCAATAATTGTGAAAAAGAAACCACAAAAAGCATAAACTAAACGACTCCACTTGCCACACACCATCAGAAATCAAAACTTAATAGTAAAAAGAGAAATGTAGCATTCAAAAATTAAACGTCAAGTCTGTAACTGAAATGTCAAGAATCAACTAACATGACTGCAATAAGTTTCTCATTTTATCAATTCGTACATCCTTTCATATTTATTAATCGGGGAAACTTCTTTAAGATTCTTAAGAAGATAACTCCTTTTTAAGTTAGTGACAAAAGAAATAAGAAGAGCAGAGCAAGGAAATTTACAGAACCAAGTAACCTCATATGACAAAGTAAAGATAAAATAAGCTAATCACTCTTATAAACTTTACTTGAGCAATATAAACTTTTCTCTTTATAAGTGTTGTATCTAGGCTACCTTGTGTGAACCTCGACCAATCCACCGGGTACTTAGTGTTGCCTAGCAACACAAATATTGAGCAACTTCGTTCACTAAGCTCCTAACAACACAAATCTCGAATAACTTCATCCACTCAGCTTAGGTAGATGCGAGAAATTTCTGCACTTTTTCAAAATTCCTCT